GTAAGTATATCTGGCCAAAATAAAACCCGAGTCAGGCAGTGAGCAAGTTAGCTGTTTAATGTTTGGAAGAACCAGGAAGCAAACAAACAAGTTGAAATTAACTGCATATGAAACTTTGAACGAGCCTGCGCTAGTTCCACAACAAAGGCAAAGCTGCCAGAAAACATACAAGTGAAGCGATCTCCATGTAAAAAGAGGAGGAGGGAGCCTGGCTGGTTCCGCCACTGGAGCATATATACTTTAGTTCACAATAATGACTGTAGCCCATGCTGCTTAAAATGTGGATTTGATAGCATTATACCAACCTGAACTACTGTATTTACCTATTTAACTATTTAGGATGGGGATTGGATTGGATTTGATTCAACCTGGATAGCTGTATTTACTATTAATTTGTGTCCCCACCTAATTTTCACACCTCTAAAATATACTTTTTAGCAAAAAAAAATTACTCGCATATTCTGTGCACCTTGCCTTGACGACTACTAGCAACGTTGCAAGAACAGAGCCGTACTGGAAAATTTTCTTTGTCTTTTTTCCAGATTAACATATGCTTGCTGGTGTTTTATTTCTTTGGTCTCCGATGCTTGGAGTACAACGAAAGTCCTCAGATGCCTGTAATGAAAGCTGGGGGTAGCGTTTAAGGGGAGATGCGAGTCAAAAAAATTGCGTTTTTAGCGAAATTTCTCGCATTTCTTATTTTTATTGCATTGTAATCTTCAAACCTTCTTCTTTCATCTGTGAAAATTTTAAAACTGAATTCGAACCGCAAAATGCAAAAAAATGCGTATGAAGGCATCGCGGTGGCTCAAAATTTCGTGAATTTGCGCCGATATTGGCCATCTTTGACTGCGCTGCTCCCCGTCGCAGTGCCGCCCGCCATCGCGATCAGTTGGGAAAGTTGCGTCCGGCCTTCTTCTTACAGCTCCGACGACCGCCAGTTTCGTACGTGGGCAAAAAAAAAAAAAAACGAGGCCTTTTTATCACGTGGTTTGAGCGGTTTGAAACGCGCGGCACCCTAAGCCGCATCGCCATTGGCTACCGAGTCATTGTCAGCTGTGTTGGTGGCGGCCATCGGCATTTGGTCCGTCTGCTTTTCTGCGCGTCTAGGCTTATTTCCGCGATGACAAGCCCGAAAAAGTGCAACGTGAGACCGCAGAAGTTTCAAACGAAGCACAAGTTCAAGGGAAGGCGGCGTAAAGCGCCCGAACGACGGCGACGAACGAGAACGCGCCTACATGTGCTAGGCCTGACGGCGGCATCGACGATTGCGCGAGCGACAGTGGCTGCGATGAAGGAATTGACGCTGCGCTTTCCTTCGTCAGTGCTTCGGAAAAGAAGCTCGGCTTCTTCGAAAAAGACGAAAGACAGCGCGATGAGGTTTGCGCAACGACAGTTTTGTGAGACACCCTCTTGCTGACGGCACTTGTGGCAGGTGCGGCATGCCCTGCTTGCGGTATTCAAAAACTTGCCGTTCGGGAGCCAGCAGAAAAGCGCAAGGGACTTTCGTCGCTCTTCGAACTTCATTGCGAAAACAGCGAATGCTCAGCGACTGTTCTTTCGTGCTCCTATACGTCACTGCGTGTTACGGCGGACGGCAGCAGCCGAGTGAGCCAACGGTACGACAGTGAGAGCTCCCGAGATAGTTTCGCTGTAAATGTGAAAGCGGTGGTGGCTGCACGCGCTGTCGGCATTGGGCATGAGCAATTGTCGAGATTTTGCTCCATTATTGGACTCCCAAAGCCAATGCACCACCGAGGATTTTTTTCGATAGCAAAGAAGGTGCACACCGCTGCCATGGCAGCTGTGAGTGAAAACTTGCGCCGATCCAGAGTGTTGACGAAAAAAGTAGCAGGCGAAACTGATGTGGCTGTTATGTTCGACGGCACTTGGCAGAAGAGGGGCCACAAAAGCCACAACGGGATTGGCGCAGTTATCTCCTTAGATACTGGCCTCTGCTTAGACTTCGAGGTCATATCAAATTACTGCCTGACATGCAGTAGCCACAAGGATATGGGCCCAGACGAGGAAGTGTGGCAGGCATTCCATGGCCCAGTCTGTGAAAAAAATGCAGACTGTTCCTCCCATGCCATGGAAATGGAGGCTACAATGCGCATTTGGCAGAGAACATTGACTTATGACACCCCACTGCATTTCATGACATTCTTGAATGACGGTGACAGCAAAGCATATAGTGCACTTGCAGAGTCAAAAGTCTATGGTGCTGTCAATATAGAAAAAGAAGACTGCATTAATCATGTGGCCAAGAGACTTGGCACCGCACTACGGAAGCTGCATGTGCCATTACCACGAGGGCAGAAAATGAAAGAGCCAGCCATTCAGAAGCTCCAAACATACTATCAGATTGCCATAACAAGCAACAGGGGGAGTGTACGGGATATGTACACTGCAGTATGGGCTTCGTACTTCCACTCATGCTCTACTGACAATGCTGGCAGCCACAGGTTTTGCCCTGCAGGAACAGAGTCGTGGTGCAAACATCAACGCGCTGAAGCACTTGGTGAACCTGCACCACGCCACACACCTCTCCTCACAAAAGCACAGGGATTGGCTGTTTTGCCCATTTATAAGCGGCTAACGGATGAGAAGCTCCTTGCTCCATGCATCAAAGGGAAAACCCAGAACGCATCGGAATCCCTGAACAGCAAAATTTGGCTACTTTGCCCCAAGACTAAGTTTGTCTCCCGAACGGTTGTCGAGACTGCCGCAGCTATGGCAATCCTGTGGTTCAACAAGGGTCATGCTACTTTCGAGCACATCCTGGAAGAGCTCAACATACTGCCATCTAGAGATCTAGTTACTTTCAGTGATTCCCGCGATGCGAGGCGCATCAAGAGAATGTCCGAGCGTCTGACAGCAGAAGCAAGGGCCCACCAGTCGTCGTGGAGTGAAAAGGGCACGGCTAGAAGAGAGTGCTCGCAAGGACCGTGAGGGCACAACCTATGCTGCAGGACAGTTCTAATAACTTGCAGTGCTCTTCAAAGTTCTGTTGAACATTATGGCCAAAGATTATGCATTTCTAACAACTCTGTGATAAAAAAAAAAGGTTTCAAACTTTCAAATGCGTTTTTCTCCTTTTGCAGTTTTGTGTGATCTGTGCTTCTTATACACGCTAGTTCGTATACTAAGAATTGTCATACCTCTATGAAATTTTGCACATAGCATGATGAAGGCCCATAGAGTGCAAGTATCTATTCAGATTGTCAGTGCTGCTTGATTATGTTTTTCAAAAATTACATAACATTGAAAGCCCTTGGCAACTAGAGCCATAGTAAATTTTTCTATTTTATTATTGTATTTCACCTTTTTACACACAAAATTTATATAGTTTTTTGCACTCTACAGTTCCAAAGGATCATAGTCAGCTATATCTGCATGCTTTATCTCAAATTTTTATAGGTCAGAATTGTTGCATAACAATGGCCATAATTTTGCAGTATCTGACCTGCAGAAAGAAAACCAAGCAATCTACATGAAAATAAATGACATATTTGAAAAGAGGAGAAAAAACTCTATTAGCATGCCAATTTGTGTTAAATTCAGACTCTTATTAAAGAAAATCGTTTTTCGTGTAGCATCTCCCCTTAAAGTGCCGACATATGAATATGTGATGGCGAGAAGGAATCGGTCAAGTTGCAACAGCTTCCTCAGTTCCACAGATGAATCACGAATTTTGGCATGTTACCTTCGTTTACCTACTCTTCTATGGACGTGATGCTAAAAAATAATCACAGGTTTAATAATACAATCTCAAGAAACTAAAATAAGTCATTTATATGAAGTTACTCAAATGCTACCCTTGAAATGCGAGCTGGCCGCAATAAGTGTGCAGCTGAGGACGTTTGCTGTTACATCACCTATAATAATAGGTAATACTAATAATAAAAAGATAAGATAGCCCGGCAAGCCTCTGTTGATGGCAGTTCTAACCTAATCGGAAAGCCTTCAAGCCAACCAAAATAATGCACAAATTCACACACCTGAGTAATGTCTTGATCCGAAATTTGGATATGCTGTGTGATATGTAGAAGCAACAGACATCAATATAGTGCATGTACCAGCATGAAAGCTAAGGAATGCTTTAGTCAATGTGAAAGACGCATCGCCAAGCGAAAATTTCCCCGGTCTTATTTATGCCATAGGCTGCCACGATTGTGATAACCGGTACATTTGTGAAACGGATGATTTCAATAAAAGAGAAACAATACGAATATGATGTCACGAAACAATGCGTAGCCACGAATGCCTTTACTGAATACTTGGAATCTACAGGCCATCAACAAAATTGTCTAGTCAAGCGCGGGTGTTCTGGACAAAGAAAAGAAGCTTGCATCATGCCTGCATCCTGAATCCAGATCCAGACTACTGAACATATGCTGGAGAGGAGTGATGCGATGCTTCTGACAACGTACTCTCGTTGCCTAGCTCCCTTACTTAGACATACTATGCCTTCCTTATGGCTTTTAGTGTGAACAAGGCTCCCATATTGGGTGCCGAAACGTCAGTAAACTTGGTGCTCTATTGGTCAGTATCCGCGTTTCATACTAAGAAGCAACAGTTACGCACTGCCTTTTTTTTTTCATGCCTCCTCTAGCAGTTAACTGCTGTTGCAGCCAAACGAGATACTTCTTAAGTTTTGATCAATGGTATGCATATTTTTGTGAGGGCCGTACAGATTGTTGTCAGTTTTTATGACCTGGCCACGTTTTTCAGAAATTCCCTTACTTTTCCCTCACCTTTCCAGAAGGGTCCCGATTCTCTGACTTTTCCTGGTTGGTAGACACCCTAGTATTTTGTGTTATGTGACATGTCACCATCAGCAATTTCTACTACCTAACAGAACCAGAAACAGCTTGTCAGAGTGTAATCCATCTACAATTCACCATAAATCAAGTGTAGTGTCTATTTCTTTTTGAGCCCACTCATTTTGCATACATGTGAGTGCAGGCATGAAAAATAGTAAATAAAATCACACATACTACTTTGCACAGTCAATCAGCTGGTACTCATTTGAGCGTTCAAAGGCAGCCTGGACACCTTTGTCTTTCCAGAGGATCTCCGTGTGCTCGTAGAACTCCTGTCGATTGCACAAAAGACATTAGTACGCACACAAGATTTCAGCTATCAAGATATCATTTGGAAAAAAAAGGAAAGACAAGTATTACTTACAAAATAAAAGCTGAAACGATTTGTTAAATAGTAACAATACGTGCAATCAAATGTGTCTGCAGGCCGATACTGCAGTACAATCACATCACTGTCACTCTTTCGGACTTAGCTACTGTCACTCTTTAGGACTTGACAACTCTGCCTTTTTCTGGATTTGTTATATGAGATAACTGTAACGTAAATGTGGGGGGATGGCTGCCATAGCAGCTCAATTGGTAGAGCATCAGACGTGTTATTCGAAGGTCTCAAGTTCACTCACTGCCTATGGCAAATTATCTTTCCATTGACTTTTCTTTCTTCACATTTACATTACAGTTACTTCATATAACATCCCCTATACTTTCCTTGGCATGGCTGTCTGTTAGATCTCATTAATATTGTGTCTGAGAAATGAAATGAGCCCTAAAGTGTGCATTTCTTTCCTTCATTGATAGCGAGGTTCTCATTGTGGCAGACTGTGTTTTCAGGTAGTACACGAGAGATTATTGGTCAGCTGCCAGCGCGTAATAAGATCACGTGCTACGTGATGCCAAAAACAGGCATAAAAAAGTGTTCCACACTTGCCGTCGTGGCTACAGGCAACGCTGACTGACACTTCCACGTTTAATTCACATACATTCCCAATAAAGTGGACGGAGAAATAAACAGCCACTATGGTAGATCAGTTGGTAGAGCATCGGATGCATCATTCAAAGGTCGCAGGTTCGATCAATGACCACGGAAAGTTATATTTTCATCCACTTTTCTTTCTTCACATTTACATTAAAATTACCTCATATAACATCCCCTATACTTTCCTTGGCATCGTTGTTTGTTAGATCTCTTTAATATTGCTTCATTCTGCATCTATTTTCATCTTAATGTTGCCTATAATGACTCAGATTTGCATAAGCTTCAGCCCTCTGTATATCTGTGAGACACATACATCCCAGTTTTTAGTCTGCAGAAAAGATTTTTTTACCACAAAACCAATCGCAATTTGTGCAACACGAAGTCACTTATATTATACTCAGGTCTTTGTATACCAGAGGAAAATTCTTTTACAGTGCTTTCAAAAAAGGAAGTAGTGTGACAATGGCATTGAATTTTAGCCTGTTTTTTATGAGAGCTTTTGAATTTTCGTTCTCTTTAGATAGAAAGAACCTACCAATCAAAATACGGATAATTTTTTTTCTGTTTTTTTGGAAAGTAGACTTTACCTTGCAGTCTTCATGCGCTTTTGTAAATTTGCACAATAACTTGACTGATAATGCATTCATTAAAACACCACCCCCTCCGAAATTGCCACATTCACCGCTCACCACAACTGCAGATGATGGTACCTAGAAATATTTGGATATCATACACCTCTTGAGAAGCAGGCACATATTTAGAGATTTCATAAGCCAAAGAAAGGATTGGCAACTCGACGAAACAATGGTTGGTACATGCAGTGAAGTGAAATCGACAGGAACAGACCATAGTGCTATGAAGGCTTACAAGAGACTCAGGTGCAAGTGTTTTTCTACTGATAGAAATAAGGTTTGCAGAACTTTCCTCTGCACGACTTGAGAACTGCTACTCTGCGCCACTTGCTTCAGGCATTTTAATTCCAAGTACTTATTGATGCGATCGCAAAATAGTGCCTTCACGAGTCAGGGGGACAATGTTTTCCCAGTTTTTGGAAAACACTCCCATAAGCCAGTGGATCCCTTTTTCAGTGAAGTACAGGCCTAATTTTCATTAAATTTGTTTCCTACTACACTCAAACCTCGTTATGACGAAGTTACATCTTACACAAAAATATGTTTATTATACCTTAAAATTTCTTATAAAGGTATAGTCAGACACTATATTGCAAGTCTATTCTTCATTTATTTTATTATAACCATTACTTCATTATACCCAGGTTTGTTATATCGAGGGTTGAGTCTATTTTGTATTACATATACCAAGCCAGTTTTATATAATCGTGTCAAGAATATAGGCCAACTTACAAAGACTCACCACCTTTCACTCTTACTTCTTTGATAGTGTTGTGAGAAATTGTGCATGAGTACAAAGTCAAACTGCCTTGAATTTGAAAGACAAAGGGGAAGCAAATACTGCAAAAGGTGCTGCCGCTCATTCTGTTTTACCAGCAGTCCTTACACAGGATGTCTTGTTTTTAGATGATGATGATGATATCTGGGGTTTAACATCCCAAAACCACCATATGATTATGAGAGACGCAGTAGTGGAGGGCTCCGGAAATTTTGACCACCTGGGGTTCTTTAACATGCACCCGAATATGAGCACACGAGCCTACGGCATTTTCACCTCTAACGAAAATGCAGCCGCCACAGTCGGTATTCGATCCCACGACATGCGAGTGAGCAGCCGAGTACCTTAGCCACTAGACCATCGTGATGGGGCTGTCTTCTTTTTAGACAACACAGATTCATTAGAAATAATTCTACAACAGCCAGGCTCTGGTTTTTGGACATGAACTATATATAGGGTGGAAATACTTTTCTGTAGCAAAGATGGCATCGACACAACAATTCAACAAAAACTCAACTAGCTTTTTAATTATTGACTTGAGTGCAATTGTTGAACACCATAGTTTATGGCATGACCACTTTTTAGAAATCACAAAAGTTGCACGTAATTCCAGACATTCATCATCGATTTCCAAAAAATTTGAAACTTGCTCTGATGTAGCATGAAAGCCCAGCACACAAAAAGCGCGGCTTCTATGTTACGTCAGACCAGGAGCCGTGACAGGTAAGTAAAATTTTGAATCAAGATATGCTGAAGCAGAATCGGGTCAGAAAAATCTACAAGCATTCTGAAATACAGAAGTAGACATCTTACAATTTGCATGCAATGTGTAATGCTTGTCTCTTTCTTAAACTATAAATGATGATTGATAGATATGTGTGGTTTAACGTCCCAAAACCACAATATGATTAAGGGAGACGCCGCAGTGGAGGGCTCCGGAAATTTTGACCACCTGGGTTTCTTTAACGTGCACCCAAATCTGAGCACACGGGCCTACAGCATTTTTGCCTCCATCAAAAATGCAGCTGCCCCAACCGGAATTGAATCCCGTGACCTGCGGGTCAGCAGCCAAGTATCTTAGCCACTATACCACCGCAGCGGAGCTCTTTAAACTATAAAGAAATGTGAAAAATATTTTAAATATCTGCAAGAAGCGCTGCAGTATTTGCCCCGGAGTTTAACGCTCCCCAGAAAAAAAAAAATGGGGGGGAGGGGGCTGATCTAGTGCGCAGCTTGAAACAAAACAAAAAAAAAAGAACAAGCAAGCAACCAACACTACTTATGAAAGGTATGCAATGTACTGGCACAATTAAAATGACGTGCAGTTTTTTAAGAAAAGATACAGCAGCAGCGCACCTTGATTCAAATTTTTTCACTTTGTTGTCCCAAGTAGTTCCGGTCTAACATAACAGGACGGCCGCATTTTATGTATGCCGGGCGAGATCAATACTTAGCACTTAAAATTTTATTATAAATATCTCGAACTACTGTGAACTCTTTTTATTTCTAAAGAATTGATATGCCATAAACAGGCATGCACTACAACTCTAATATAAACGCATGCCATTAAGTCAATATTTAGGAAGTTGATTAACAGGTTTTCATTAATCAGGCACAACAGTGTCATTTCAGCTGCGATTAAGTATTTCCTCCTCAAGATAAAGCTTGCATGTGAAAACGAGAGGTGCGATACTGTCACAGGAGTTTCATGAAAATCTTTATAGTCCCCCCAAAAAAAAGCACCCTGTGTACAACACGTAAGAATGAGCCAGAGTGAGAGAGAACAAGTGAGTGTGTGTGCATGTGTGCTTTCTCCCTGCTATTTAAAAATGAGCACTAAAAAGCAGCAGCGTTGGCTAGACTTACTGCAGGATAGTCGAAGTCTGGAGAGCTGGCTACATCTTGAATGTAGTCCACCCGCCACTGATTCTCAGATTTTTCCAGCTGTACCGGTGGTACGAGCGTGCTCATGGCACCTGTGATAGTCTAATTAGAGTGGGATAATCTGTCAGTGCACTGTACAAAAGCCAGAAAAATTATTGTGACAGCACTATGAGGATATAAGAAATAGAGCCCATACCAGGATTGCATCTCGTATGTTCTTTTTTATATCTTCTATTTTTTGTTTCTTCTCTCTGAAATAGAGGTCAGATTATTTTAGATGAGTGTGGCAGCAAATTATAACGCAACACTACACAAAACCACAACGCTACGCTTTCATCTCACAAGCTGGTTGCAGCAGGCTGGAAGCTACAAAGTGCAAGCAAGCCCCAAGCTTGCACAGCAAAACATAGTTCTGTTTGCAAATGCATGTAGAGCCCGTGCCGGAGGAGCCGAGAGAAACGTCTTGTGAGGAACTCTATTGTTTTCCAAAAATGCGAGCATGAAAGCTCGGTGCACCAAAGAGATGCAGGGGAAAGAAGAGACCTATAAGAGAAAGCTTTGTTCTAGTCGTTCTGTCTTACGCGCTCCACCCGTGCGGCGGCGGCCAGCACAAGAGTATATTTCATTAGATTACTAAGCAAAAGGTACCACCCTTGGGGCACGATACGAGAGGATGTGCTACATGCATTTCAACGGGCAAGGTTAACAGAAATGCACTTGGCCCATGCTACATCGCAGTGATGATGCCATACGCTAATCCCAATTCACATGTATGTCATTACTTCTACAGTCATGTATGTCATTACTTCTACAGTCATGTATGTCATTGCTCCTATAAGTGCAAACAATAATTGAGGTGGCAAAGCCAGCCTCCCCCCACTTTGATATGAATTTGCACTTGCAACTTGCCCACAGTCCTGACAGCAATAAATAAGCAGTGGAATCAGGTATCACTTTGTCTCATCTTCAGCAGAAGAAAACATATCAAGTATGCTTCATTCTTATTGGTGAGATCAACTGTTCGTTCAGCCATGCCTACTAAGCCTTGTCCCCGAGAATTTTAGAATGAATCTTGGGAAATGGGGCGAAATAGCCGGGAATACATTGCTATTGAAGCATCAGGACACAACTATAGCACAAACACATGGGTTGGTTTATACCTTACTGGCCAGATAACGTACTTTGACGACCTTATAAATATGAGGCAGAAAGAACCAGCTGTGACGGGTACCACGATGGCTTTTTTTTTTCCCTTAAGCTGCTGCTGCCGTGTGCTTATTTTGGACTACGCAGTACAAATGAATGCATCGTAATCTATTTTCACTTCCTATTAGCTAAGTAGCAAATAGCCTCCCCAGTAACAAGTTCAGAGACTTCGAAATAATCAAGAAAATTAAATGCAGTAGCTCATTTCCTAGCTTTAACTGAGAGCGCACTGATGGCACAAAAAAACGCACAGTGTCACTTCAGCTGTCAGCGCAGAAGTGCCCTATCGACAAGATTAAAACAAACATGCTTAAATTTACAAATATTACTGCTCAGTGCTTCCACAGTGACTGCGCACAAGTGGCCCCTTGCACAATCTTGCGAACTCTGACACACTGATGGTTGAAGCAAATGACCGACTGGTACGTTGAAAAAATATAAGAAATACAGGTACGAACTTTGAAACTTAGCCATCTAGTGGGCAGAAAGTGCAATGATACAATTTGGCACTTGTTCGCATGGTTTCTGAAATTTCGCACCTGACTGTGCATACAGATACAAACACATGCACAAACATACATGAGAGAGGGGGTCAAACACCCCTCCAAAGAAAAATTTCTGGCCAGCCCTTGGTGCCAACCAGTAAAGAGTTGACACGAAATACTTTTAAAGTGCTCTTTTGTACGCCGGCATAGGTGCAAAATAAGTCCTTGTGCGAAGTTTCACAATAATGCAATGCATTTTTAAAAAGGTGTCTTACCAGTTCCAAGGCTATGCTCTAAATTTTCTTGACACAGAGTCACGGGTTGCACCAAATTAATTTCACATGTGTAAAAACAGACACCAATGATAACTACAACTAGATTTTTCTGAACAGCAGTCATGAGACACAGAGTTACTTGTGCCCGAGGACTCCCAGCAGACATTTGAGACATCACACCCCCTCCCATATACAGGAAAACGCTCGCAAGAAACTACAGAATCACACTACCCACAGTACCATTAAGCAAAACATAACGAGCGATCTGCAAGGTGGTGCTTTAGAGGCAGCAAGGTACAGCACTAAAATGGCAAGGACATGAAAAGACAAGAACCACACAGCACAATATTCAGTAACTATTGAACTGTTGATGCACTGAATTATACTACTGCATTGTTGATGAATGTGCCAATCTACACGCTTGATGTGTCTCATGTGACCTTTTCAAGGTGGGATTTAACAGGATCCATGATTGCAAAGACCAAAAATCTTGGGTTCAACTGAATAAAAACAAAAATGTTTTATTCAGAGATTATTTGTTTAGTCATTAGGCATTGACAGGAACTTTTGAGAGAAAAAATTGTAAAGAAAATGTTCCTTATAAGAGTCAAACCACTCTTTAACAAACTAAAAAGTTTCAGGTGGCCACATGTCAGGTGCATGATGCAACTTTGAACTTTTCCAAGAGTTTTCTGGCTAACCTCCCTGCCTTTCCTCCTCTTATTTCTTCCTATCTAAGAGTTTCTAACGTCTATCAAACAGTATAAAGTGCATCAAGCCCTAGCAATATCAAGACGTTTTATTGCATGACACCACCAACATTCGTGAACCTGCACTCACACAAGATTGCTGACCATAATGGTCCAATCATGTACCGACTTGTACACAACCTGCAGTTTTCGAACAATAAGAAAAAGGGAAAACTAAGTGAGCGGTTGCTGACTTGTGAAGCAGTTGCCAAATCGAGAACAGTCGAACAAGTTCCTAACTTTAAGAAGAATATCAGTGACATCATAGTTTAGCATAGACTACTTAAAGAAATATAGTCTCTTCAAATATTCAAACTTTTCAAATAAAGTAAGTAATTTTTCATCGCTTCTCCCTTAAATGCTAAAGGTTAACATATTTTTTATAAGTTGTAATATTTTCTTATAATCAAAGAAGCAAGCCTAGAGTTTTAAAAAAGGAAAAGCTAGCACCACTGTCTATGCAAGATTACCAATGGACGACACTCCATCATGGCAATGACAGGATACGTAGGAGAGGTCATTGTTGGCTGGCAATGAGGAAGGCTTGCCCCACGGAGAAAGAAGTATTTGAGGAAAAGAAACTCCCAGGCCACGCCAGCAGGCGAGGGCGACGCGGTAGAGTCACGGAGCGATATGGTTTATGCCAACGCTCGGCAGGTGACGCTTTCGGCATGTTGCCATCTTTTACATGCACTTTTATAGACGCAACGCATAAAAATCGTGATAGCGCCTCGTACACAGCAAAATGTTTCAGATCTTTTGTGTAACATGAATGACTAGATGTGACATATTTCAGCGGCAGTTACTAATTAATACTGCCAAAATTTTAGGCCCCAAAGCGCTTGAAACGAGCTGCTAGTAATAGCCCAGGAGCAGACGACGTCTGCCACATGCACGCGCCTCTCACTCCTCGCTCGCATGTTACGAGTGCGCAAGCCTGGGTGACCTTGGGAGGGAAGCTACCCACAAGCTGTCATGAATCCCTTCGTCATATGCAGGCTTTCTATCTCTTCAGTGCTCTCCATGGCGCTCTCAGTGGCTTCAGCGCATTGCGCCGGCGGCGCTGCCTGATAGCACGCACTTTTCACGCCGTGACAAAGGAGAATGCTTTGCGGAATTCGAGCACGATGCTTTTTTGTGACGCGGCGAAAATGTGTTGTGCCAAAATGTAACAGTGGTTACGCATCCTGCAAGGAGAAGGTAGATACTTTCAAAGTTTTTAAAGACCACGTGACATAGGAAATGTGGGCTCGCGCCATACCTAAGAAAGATCAGCTGATGCCTCGTAACTACATTTGTGAGAAGCACTTATCGGACAGCGGCTCTGCCACACCATGTTCTATGACATAGACATGTTACATGACACTGCATGACATTCACATAGTTTTTTTTTTTTTTTCGAAACAGCTTCCAGCAGTGTTGCAGCTCTGTAGTCGAACAGCTGCATGCAATGATGAATCCGTGGGTGCGATTCCTACCTAAAACATTCCTAGAACCGAAGACATTTGCATTTTTCTCAATTTCGCAGCCATGGACAACGCTGATTTTTCCTTCTCTGCCAACGACTGCAACGTCGGTCTTTTTGCGAAACGAGCTCTTTTATGCTGTCACGTTAAAATTTGGAGCCGACGAGAAACACCCAGTTGGACATGAAGCACGAACGACTGATCTGAGCGGAGTGGCCTTGAACAAGTGTGTGGTGAGAGCGGCCACGGGTTTTTCCTCCTTCGTTAGCGGAGTTTCACAACAGAGGGCGCGTAAGTGCTGTGCCCGATTTTGTGACTTTTTTAAGGCTCCTGCGCGAGCACAGTTTCGCCTCTTCGAAAATTCTTGCTTTGTGGCTTGCCCTAAAACATGGGTTAGGTTACACAAACAAGGCATCCTCAAAAAAAATTTTTTTTCTTTTCATTTAGCAATAAGTTAACCCAACAGCAGTGCATATAGTGTTAACAACATAGAGAATAAACTATCACAAGACTGACACAATTGCCCAGCAAATTTAGTGACCCATGAACACTTTCTTAAACTCTGTATACACCCTGCTGAGGTGGTCTAGTCGCTGAGGTGCTGATCCCACAGGTCGCGGGATCGAACTTCGGCTATGGCGGCTGCATTTTCGATGGAGGTGAAAATGCTGTAAACCCATGTGCTCATATTTGGGTGCACGTTAAATAACTTCAGGTGGTCGAAATTTCCAGAGTTCTCCACTACGTGGTCTCTCATAATCATTTTAGGACATTAAACCCCACATATCAAACTCCGCATAGTTCTCAAGTGTTCACTAACACAACATTTAGCCTAATGAAAAGTATGTAAATTGCTCAACAGTCATATCACTACGAATCTGGCTACTAGAAATAACCTTGGCTCTCATGTAAGCGTTACAAAATGAAATAACGCCAACATGATATGCCTAAAGACTATGGAAACAATATTACAGTTGACTCTCAGTCAACGGAAATCTGTTAAATGAAACTGCTGCTTAAATAGAACGGCTGCCTCTAGTGCAATAGGTTTCATGCTTGAATTCTCCACCCTTATTCATCTTTCGGTTAACGTTATATGTAGCACGTTTTCCCGGTCCTTTCAGGTTCCATTTATTGAGAGTAATGTATATCAATTACTCCAGCCCTAAATCATCCTGTTTCAATCTCCAAGCATTGAACAGAGAAATTTTCTGTTAAAGGAATTATCAGAGTGTGTGTCAGCTACTCGGCACTAAGAATAGCTGGCGTCTGCAATATATTTCGTACAGGCAAAGCGAACAATCTGTGCAGTGCTCTTTCATCACGTTTGCGGTTCACAAAGATTTGAAGTGTGGCAGCAGACAATAGCAGATGACAAAAAGGAACCATTCACAGCCAAACTAAGCCATTCATAGCCAAACAGTTACTGGCCAGCAAATTCACCACGTGACTGCCACTGCCACACACTCCTGTGTTCCCTGTAACAGTGGATTGCTGTGCACATCCAAGTAGAAGTCTTTTTTTTTATGCTTTCATGCAGCATATTGAAACAATGCTGCTTCAGTGAAAAATGAGCCACCGTGACAAATGAAACACTGTTAGCGTTCCAGCTTTTCGAAAGCACTCAAAGCCACTAAATCCCGGCATTCCAACACATACAACCTGATCACAGCACTAGTTTTCCCTCAAGGTAAAAGCGAGAAACCCTACTGTTGCAGCAAATGCAGAAGCATGTCTACTTTTACAAGCAGGTGGAAGATCAAGCACACAATTGTTAAATCACTCGTGGTGCAACGATGAGCACACCATCTCAGTAAAATAATTGCCGGGTCTTCATGTCCCAAAACCATGACATTACAGAGACACAGTAGTGGAGAGCTCCAGAAGTTTCTATCACATGGGATTTCCCCATGTCTAAGCACATCTAAGACCATGAGAATCTAACCATATGGGCTTCTAGCAATTGACCTCCATCTAAACGCGACAGCTATGGCCGGAATTCCAAACCGCAATATAATTGTGAGGAACACTACAGTGACGGGCTCCGGAAATTTCGAACATCTGGTGTTCTTTAACGTGCACTGACATTGCAGAGTACACGGGCCTCTAGGAGTTCACCTCCACTGATATGCGACTGCCGCAGCTGGGATCGAGCCCACAACCTAAGAGTTGGAGGCCTAGAACTGTAACCACTGATCAATCGTGGCGAACACGGCCAGATTTAGATCCATACCGCAACCACACAGTCAGTAGTCAACCACCTTGAATACTAAACCACTGTGGCAGCTACGTCCAAAATGAAATGAAGATTTCATACACTTGAACCACATTATAACTATGTAACATGGGGACTTTTAATTTGTCTGTTATACCAGATATTCATTGTAATAGACGATTTAAAAATAGGCTCTAACAAAACGGATATCTGGCTCACACAACAAAGAAACCTACATATCAAAACATCTAAGCTTCCAATGCACCATAAACAAAGTAATGCTTGCCTGCCTCTTTGTGGTAATTCAATGATAAATGTTGGAATTTTAAATCCCATAACCACAACGTAGTTAGGAGAGAGACTGTAGAGGAGACATCTGAAATTTCGAATGCCTGGGGTTCTATAACATGCACCTAAATATAAGTAAATGAGTCTCTAACATTTCACCTCTATTGAAATTTGTGACACTTTGAATTAAACAGACCGAAACATGAGAATGCAAAATTACGGCAGAACCAAATTCCATTCACAAAACAGACATGCATTAACATTTATTTAAAAAACTAAATGTCCTTTGTCTGGAGGCTTCTCGCAACACTAGGCAGAATGAAATTTTCCATCATGTACATGCATGAAATTTTTGTTGTTACTTAAGCCATTTTAAATGTCAAAACTTGGGAGTTTCTGAATTCTTTCAATATTTATACTATTTTCTATTCTACCTTTCATGTTTTTAACCTTGTGGAAACCGTACATTGCTTTCTCACAACCAATATCTTATCTCTTGCATTTATGATTTTGTTATAAAAAAAGAATGAATGTCGCTGGAATAAAACCTGATCAACCGAAGTTCACATCTAGTTTGCTATAACTGATTTTCTATCAGTGTATTACAGTGAGGCTCAGCAGTATTACTTAAAGAAATAATACACTGGACAGATTTCAGGTATAATTGTCCAACATTATGCCTCACTTTTCATTATATGAACCACCAGGGTCATATAAGTACGTTTACAGACTAGTAAGTTTTCCTTTACAACTACAGTTTTTTTTTTTTTTTAATTCAGCAGTTTTTATGAAGTCTTGCATGAAAGAAAACAATTTCAAGTTGGCTTTCCGTGGAGTCTTGTACATTCAGGTAACATCCAGAAGCATAAATCATTCTACAGGTGTGCTGCCAAGTGTGGATTTCAATGGACTATGGCACGTCGGTCCTAACATGCATCACTCCCAGACTTGAAGAGAAGGCGTTTCAAACTCTGCTGCTCCCTAGTGCCCCCACAGTCACCCCTGAAGAAAGGTCCGAGTTGGATCGAAAATGTCAGCCTTTTCTCATTTTGAAGTAAAAAAGCAGTTTTAACATTTAATGGTTCAGTGAGTTCGGGTCCTCCTTTTTCCAATTACAAATTCATCATCAGCTTTATACTTCCAAACATTCTTTTTGCATTCTGTGTCACAAAGGGGCAATCATCTTTACAAGGATTGATAGGAATTAGTGGTGGTAGCAAATCCCAAGAATTAGAAACAGTAAACCATACCAACTTATGTGTGTTTAACCACCAATAAAGCTTCATACAATGCTCCCTTCTGTCGTTTCGAGGAAACATTTTAAATTCGAGCCTCACAGATAGTGCATCATCAATGTTCCAGTAATTAGGCCTCACCGCTGTGGTGATTGAGATGTGCAAGAAAGGACTGAGTGGATCAAATGAGTTTGACAGACAGCTGTATAGCAAGTGGAGTAAGCTCGTATCAGTGCAGAAAAATGTATTGAAGAAAAAAAGAAAGGACACAGGAGAGACAAGGTCACACATGTCCCTGTGTGTCTCCCTGTTTCTCCCTCATCCATTTTCTATCAGCTACCTACACTGAATCCAACAGCAAAATGTTGGTATAGTGGCCAGTGCCCAATGCATTGATCTGTTTACTTGTGCAAAGTAAACATGTTAAACTATCTTTTTTACACATCTATCCATCCCTGAAATAATACATGACAAAAGAAAAAACTCTATCTTTCGATTTCCAAGCTCAAAACTGCTGTTCAAAGTAAAATAATCCATGATGCCACAAATGCCTGGCCATGAAAAATGGTATCAGTACGAAACAAAGTTTTAACAACTAAATTACTAAAGCAATTTCCAAAGGTATGTTTTAAAGGCAAGGCAATCCAGAAGAACTTGCACACAATGGCAAGAATTGTTTATAAGAGTGCGTGAAGTATTTAAAAAAAAGTGCTACCAAAGGAAGTCATTCCACTTCAAGAAAGCAGAACTTTCTGGTGGAATGAATTCCTTTAATAAGGCTCTGAAAAACAAGGAAGTAGAGGTGAAAGGAATCATTCTGCTATTACGAACTGTCTGACCCAGCACATAAAATTATGCCGAAAAGATTAAATATAAATGGAAAACTAATAAACGGACTCGCATTTTCCTACACTGAGAAAACCCCTTTACACAGAACAATTACTTTGACAACCTATAAAAACACCAATACAATGGCTCTACCACCATTCATTCTCTTTACAAATATACATAAGAGCTGCAAAAGAAGGTGACCTTCAATACTACAAAAGCTAACAAATTTGATGATTGATATGTGGGAGTTTCATTAATTGATATTGGAGGTTTAGCGTCCCAAAACCACCATATAATTATGAGAGACGTCGTAGTGGAGGGCTTCCGAAATTTCGACAGCTTGGGGTTTTTTAATGTGCACCCAAATCAGAGCACACGGGCCTACAGCAAGAGCTACAAAATTTTGGGAGCTAGTACTAAAAAGCAGAGCCATTACAAAAAAAAACAAAAACTGTGGCATGCGTGAAAAACACGACAAGTTTTAGATGATGCTCTTTCCTAATAGAGGTTACGGTGTAATGGGTTGAAACATCCCATCCTAATGAAAGGTTTGTTCCAAAAGCACTGAAATAAGCGATTATAGTACAGACTGAACACACAACGAAGCACCCTGCTTGTCAAACCCTCTTGGGGGTACGTGCTAGAATTTACCCAACAAACAGCACTGGTGCACCGAGTCCAGTTTCAAAATAAGCCACACAAGTGATTTCTTTCATGCAAATAACCAAAAGATTATAAAGAAAACAGCTCACTCCTCACTAAAACCATTCACATGGAGTATTCTCATCTGTTTCACTATTGTACTCTTTCCCGATTCACCGGCACCTGCAAGAAAATAGAAGCAATACATTAATTAGTATACAGATAGCGGCACGATATAATGTGACAACAAGGCTCTATAGAAGCAACAATTTTAACTGTTGACAGGCCATGGTTTAACAAAAGAACAAGATTCCAGTTGTTTGTTATGAAACACTGAAACTGCTTAAGGAAAACACTGTGGTTCTATGAGAAAACACAGCATTTGAACACCCGTGTAGGGTAGCAAACTGGACTTAAGTCTAGTTAACCTCCCTACCTTTCCGATATTTTTTTTTTCTTCTCTCTCTCTCTCTCTCTATAACAAACATGACATTGCAAAGTAACAGTTGACCAACGAGCCCTCTCTTGCATCAGCGACTAGCACCTCGCCTGACAACTGTAGATGGGAGGAGGTAACAAAGCTCCTCAAGGGAGTCTCCTGTTTGTTCAGACACGCATGGTAGAGATAGAGAACACAAGAGAATTGTTGCGATGCCATCCGTCAAGGAATGATCAAGCCAGTCACGTACAAGATTCACACACACCTCCTCTTACACTCACTAGCCTAATGCAAGTATCCATACTCTTCAATTATTTATATACTTAACATAAATTCACTATGAGTACCTTAAGGGCTACTCCTGCACAACAGCCTTACTTTCTGCTACCAACACTTGTCAGGTTCGAAAGCATAGTCTCACTGAAAATTTTAAAAAGCCAGAGCATTTTCCTGCGTGTGCTAAAGCATACTGTTGGTGTTTTGAATGAGCCTGCATATCATGGGAACTTGTGTGCTACTTTCGTTCCTATGAGTCCTCATTAAATGCAAAATAAACTAAATAATCTTGCCTACAAAAATGAGTGAAGTAGTGCAGTAGAACATTTCGAAAGCTTATTTTATTCCGCATATGTCCAAATTGGAGCTCAACACTCCCCAGCGATTTCAAATAAAGCAATGAGGAAAACAAATAATAAAGACAAGTCACATAAAGAACAAATCCCATCAAGCATTAACGCAATGTGATATCTCAGCAACGTCGAACTGCAGTTGGTGTTGTATAACAGTAAAAAGAAGTGGCACTTGGCCAAATATAAACATTCATTTTAAATAGAATGGACCCAAAGACCCAGGAGGTAAACTATACCATCAATATTTTGCACGCAAACCTAAAGATACTTGCTGTTTGCAAGGCGCAGACGAAAGCACTAGGAAAATTGAAAGATGAAGTGAAATGTAACTGCTACACCAGTACTAAGAATCCAATACCGAGGGGCATTGTGGTAACTACACATGTGAAAGCTCAAGACCAATGGAAGCAACTATGCGTGTAAGTTTTGTTCGCGCATAACTTCAAAAACGATTCGGCTTGAACGTTGCAGCGCTCGCACATGTCACCCAATTGAAACTTCGGCGAGTGCACGATCAGCCCCGTAACGCTTCCATCTGGTGCTTCGCTTCGAGTCTCCCCGCTAGTTTCGGATAAACGTTGGCTACTTTGGTAAACGTATGAACAATTAGCGAACTATTATTTTATCACCACATTAAACCGCTAAACAAGCCGGCCGTGTCGATGGGGGAACACATCACACGGATATCTTGACGCGTATGGCCGGTATACACGCGAGAGTCGAGAGAAAAGGAAAGCAAGGCTCGGCCAATTATGCATCCTGCTTTCGTAACCAAAGTGAAATAATGTGGGCGCACGAAGACGTCGACGTTTATAAGCTAGGCCTAGTCAAATCGGAGAACTCGAGTCCGATATCACATTCGCCGCTACAAGGTACAGGTAGCCCGTTCAATTTCCCTTGCATGAGCAAAAATATGGGACTAAGCCACTACAGAACGTACAAAGAACAGCAGCATGCTGGCGGCACTGCAGAGAATCTTTTTTTTTTAATTGATAGTATGGTTCTCAACACCTGAAACCCCGGTTAAGGCAGTCGCTGGAGAGCACCCGTGCCGGCGGTGATACCCGAAAACGCATTTTTTTTCTTGTCCCTGCAACCATCAACCGATTTTCACTAACGTAAAGCGTACCAACCTAGTAATAACAGCCGGTGTGTTGCTCTATAAATCTGTTTGTCCTTTTGAATCTGTTTCTCGATTTTCTTATTGGCTTCCTTCCGGCGTTTATCCTCTTCGGCGTCGCTTTTTGAGCTCGAGCCTCCAAAACAGCCCATGACATTAGGCCTAACAACGTCTCGCACTCCGCCGTTGGTTCCAAAGATTACCGCACACGAGGAAGCAAACCACTGCAACAGAGTTATTCCAGGTACATCTCCGAGCAACTATCCATTGGGCCGGGTCCGTTTAGTCACCACCGAAAAACCTGCTGTCCATCTTCCGAAACAGGCATGGGTGTTATCCACCGAGGAAGTGGCTTGCGGAGGATGGGTGGGGGACTACCGCACGCGAGGCATTCTGGGTAAAACTGGCAGCCCACCATGGGCGGGCGCAAATGGGCCGCTCCGGATCGTCAGAAACGAGAGCGCATGCCCCCCTACCTCACGCTAAGCGAAGCCCGTGCATGCAGCAAAAAATAACTCCGAAACGTGGCGTTTCTCCTGTATACATACATACACGCTGCGGCGCACGCTGTGTGGTCCCCGTTAACACGAGCAGCGACATCAAGCATTCCCTGGCAACCGCGAAAGAAACGAAATATTCTGTGTCCACCGGGTTTTCCGGTCTCATTTTCACCCTCCGCTGAGAAACTCGAAATTAAACGCCAGTAAACAAATCAAACAAAGATATTCAGAACTAAAACCGTGCTTGAAAACGATGGCTTCAAATACAATAAGAAGCCGTCAATTCAGCAGATTACTTGTAATGAGCCACAGACGTTTTCACACTGACGTTTTGGCGGAAAGAGTGGTCTACAAACGCAGTTTACAGTACGCTCTGCTGGCCAGAAGCTGTAAGTCAGTAGCAGACCCCCCCCAAAAACCAAGATGAAGTAACAAATATATATGTGCAATATTGTCCTGATAAATGAGCCACAAGCTGCGAGGTGTGAAGACATAAACCAACATCCAAGTTTAAAGCATTTTAATTTTTTCTGAATATAAATTTCCCAGTATGACACATACTACCAAAAGGACCACACTGGTAACACTTTCAGGCAGGATGGTATACATTTCTTGGTACTTTAGCAGCTGATACAAGTAAAAACATGTTATACTTTGAGCAAAAGCTCCTAATGACAATGTCCAATTTGCAGGAAATAAATAGAGCAGAGCATTGAGTGAAAAAGATGTAAATTTGCTCAAATTCAGCCTGCCAGTGGCATTAACACAATGTCACAAGGACTCAATGCAAAATAAAATGAAGGTAAACTTGCTAATTTCCACATATGTAAATTCTACAATGTCCAAGTGTTTCAGCCTTGCATATATAGTTACAATGAACCACATCTTGCACAACAACCAGTAAAATTCATAGCAGCCCCATTTTGAAAACATTTCCCTCGGAATGTTTGCACATGTATGTAAAAGACGTCAAGAATGTCTTGCTGCATTATTCTATAATGCATGTACTAAAAGATAACAGCAAAATTGAAGGTATGCTGCAGTATGAAATATGTTACTTATGTTGATGTTACAAAGAAAATAAAACTTAACTAAGAGGAGGTAGACAAAGGCACAACTGCGTAATGAGCATAGCTACTTCAATCAATATATATAGCATGCTAACATACGTGTGCACTTGCATAACGCTTTGCATAGATGCAAGCGGATTATTTAGACTATGTGATAAAGAATATAGTCCTGATAACAGAAACGCCCAACTCCTGAATAGCATTCATGAAGGGTAACAAAATTTTATGAATATTTAATATATCAACCCCATGCTCAAAATTAGTCTGTGCCAAAACATTATTGTATAAGAAACTTCCCACAAGCAATGGTCCTTTACAAGATTCTTGCATAGCTTGTATGAAAATTGGCATAGACATTAATACTACACACCCAGCACACCTCGCTTCTTACAAAGTTAGAGCAATCCCAAGAATATGGTCCTTGCAGTTATGAAAACTAGGGGCATTAAAAGTGCAATTTCTATATGAATACAAACACACACGAAAAACGAGCTTCATATATCAATTGAATTAGATGCAGCTAATACTATCATTAACTGGATTTCATCTCAAAAGAGAAGCTTATAAATTGAAAACAAAGAGGAGGGGCTTGAACCTGGTGACAATTAAAGCACTGAATTAAAGAAAGAGCATGTTACCAGATGCACATAGCAGTATAGCACTTGCTTGTTGAAGGAGTCAACACAAGATTGGCCAAATATTTAATGACTTTGCCCAAATAGAAACAGCAAAGTTCAAGACACGAATACTTAACTGGAAACTGTGATCCACAAGCACAAATGCAGTTACTAAGAAAATCATGCATATGCACAAGAGCTGTATTTCTTCATAGGCCAATTCAACTAGAAAACTCACCTATTGTATCACTGCTTATGCTTTTACATAACAGTTGACATTGTGAATTAATAATTCACACCCATCCCATTTACCTGCCTCTCCTTTCTGCGAATGTTGCTTCGCATTTGTTGTCAAGCTGCACAAGCACGGCTACAAGTCCAAATTAATGTAGAAATTCTGATATCAACCACTAACAAAAGAAAAAGGTCTATTCTATCTGTGTTAGAATTGAATCTATTTGCACACACCTCATGAAAATAAATGAACTTAATAGCAACAAGGAACTTTTAAACGAAGGTGGAAGTTGCAGAAATGCCAAAGAGAAAAAAGGACAAAAATATTTGGCTGACCGAGAAGGTCTTCGCAATCTACTGCATTTGCTCTGGACAGACCGATTAACAAAAATCACAAAATTAGACCAGAATGCAGTCCACAGCACTACAGCTCATGCCATCTATAAAACTGATAAATGTTCTAACTCTGTCTATGGATAACACTTTACTGAATGATTTAAATAATGAACACATAATATTCAGAAAAGTTCCAATGCAATGTTTCACATGAAAGTTGCTAAGAGATATTAAAATGGCTTTTTTTTTTTAGAAGTCTCAAATTATATATAACACAGAGCAAATACCTGCTATACTCGAGGACAACTTTCTGTGGCAATGAAGGGAAGGCTATGGAGGCAAAGTGGGCATGTGCCACCACTGTAAAATATAGTGCCGCAAATGCGTCCGTGTTTTCCGCGTGATATTGATAAGAAAGAACATTATTTTCTACTGGATGCTATATATAAAGAGACACTGTACGCACCATGGTGATATTAATATTTGTTGTTGCTTTCTGAAGAATCGTTTATGTGTTTTCGCACGTCTGAAAGCGTTGCACGTCTTACGTGCACCTAACAATCAAAAGGGTGTCTTCGTCTTTAGGTGAGCGGGCGTCGCCCTCCAGCTATTCCGTCGACTCGCCGAAGGAGCTTGCGCTTAATTTTACTTACAAATGGTACTGATTGTGTAAGCAGACATATCAAATTGTGTGCAGTAGAATTACTTGAACACGGCCGTCGTCTGAGACGCGAGCCAAACCAGACTACTTCGCGGAGGAGCACAGAAGCAGTAGTTCCGCCCAAAGTTGTCCCCGAGTATAGCAACACTGAAACAAAGAAATACTATTTGCTTGCAAAACTTATGCACAATACACATTATTGCACATGCACAGCAGAAGCTACATTCCTTTGAAAGCAGGTGAATATATACCTTTATACAAAACATAAAACATACACAGAAATACAAAGAAGTTTGTGCAAACAACAGAAAACCGCACAACTTTTCAAAACATTTTTACTCCTGCAACTTAAACAAGAACAGGCTAGAAACAAATATATAACAAACTTGCTCAGTACAAAAAATGTATTGCTCGATGCCAGTAAAAACTGCTTGATGCCAGTAAAAGCTGTTGGACGGCTGCCTTATTAACCCAGATATTATTTCAAAGACAAATTGCAAGAGGACATACATCAAGCAACTAAAAGATGACAAAAATATAATTGATCTATTTTTTGAAAATAATGACAAATTTTGAGAGAAAATGCCAGAATCCCAAAATGACCAATGTCCCAAAAATGACCAAAAATCCCAAAACTGACCAATGAGTTACGACAGACATCACAATGGAAGGCTCAGGATTCAATTCAGCCAGATCGTCCAGCTAATGCTCTTTAACGTGCATCAACACTACAAGACACAAGCTTTTTTGTTAATTCGATCCCAATGAGATTGCGGCTGTGGCAGCAAGGAATTGCAACTGTGACCTTACACCCAGCAACCCAATACTATAACTGCTGACTCGCCATGGTGGGTCATAAGGCAAAATAAATGGTCTGTTAAGAGTGACATGTAATTCAATATGGCATAGAGCCATTTATTGGATTTTATTTTTTCAAAGAAAATGAGGCAATCAGGGGTGGAAGTGTACTTCAGTGTTTTGGAGCAGCTAAGGGCAAGAATAATGCCGTTTTGGAGCAGCTTTGGCGCTGTAGAAAGGGGAGTTTTAAAAGCAGGTTCGCAGCACCAAAAGGAGTTTCTTGAAGAAATCCGAGTCAGTTTTGGAGCAGCGATTTAGGGCCAAATATTACCGTCAATCAATATCATTCTTTGTAACAAGAACTTCAATGGTTTTTACTAAACATTCAGTACTAATATAGCTTACTACCCACAAAAGTGTGTGTGTGTTCCCATCATTAAACACCACAGTTGACGCTGAAATAACTTGGAAAACAAGAGATAAGCGACGTTTATCTCTTGTTTTCATGTTCACTATACTCTTTTTCACACATCAAGTGCAATGCTGCAAATTTACCCCTTTGCTTGTATCATAGCCGGTTTTGGCCTTGTGAACGCTCACGCAAGTTGAGCAGCTGTCTCTGCATGTAGCTCCTTGTCCTCTATTCTTTCCAAAAAAAAAATATGAAGAAAAGACTTTCTCGTGGGTACTTTGGGCAGCATCTGCTGTGTTACTATATTTGTTTATTGGTGGCGATGGCGCACATCGAGAGATGCACACTTTACTTGCATGCGCACTGCCGTTTAGTGCAGGATCATGCCGCATCAACAGCACGTAAAAATTGTCGAGGTTTCACTGTATTACTGGATAACTCACAGTTACTTGTGTTGGCGCCACCGCTTTTGTGGGAAAACCACGACGATAACAGCGATGAGATGAGCACAGCAAGCCGGATGAATGAGCCAAATTACATGATAGAACTACACTAGATTGATATGTGGGGTTTAATGCCCCAAACGACTACACTGGACCTGCAGTTAAAAAAGTTCAATGAGTGTCACATGTGCTAAGCATAGTTCGCACGTGCTCAGAATGAGTTCCTTCCATATAAATCGGCTCATTCTAAGACGATAAAGAGAGGCATCGCAAGACACTGTATATGGATGCAGTTGCGTCCTTTGTGAACTGTAAACTGCGCTCAGTGTTCCACGGTCGGCGACAAAATTGGCTAGAATTGTAGGTTTACACTTAGAATCGATAATTATCGTGCAAATCGCCGTTTATTTACAGACTGGCGAAGAAGGTCAGATTGGCGCAGAATAGTGCGATTGGTGCAGCACTTCCACCCCTCGGCAATGGAAGAATGGTGAACACTTAAAACAGTAGGACACAAGCATGAAATCTACTGACACCCCATTTCCCCAGTGCTCATTGCAGTAACTAATGTCCCGAAAGCAGATGGCATCACTGTGCAGAGGAGCACACGTTAACATCCAGCCTACAGCTTGGCCGAAACACTCGGATTGAAGTTGAAATAACCTTCCACCAAGCTACATAGAAAATCACTGCAACAAACAAGCAGTGGGATAACACGGGGCTGTTGGCACTAGGAGCCGACGTTCTTGGAGACAATTCCTTTGTTATCCATGTTGTCATCCTCATTAAGGAAGCTCAGGTCAACACCCTCAAGGACTGCACAGTTACCACCACGGCTACCACCTGTGGCTCCAGCATGAGCCAAAAAAAGGTCCTTAAGAAAGCTGAGCTCCTTGTTTAGGATCTTGATTTTGGCCACGAGTGCTTCATTTTCTGCTCTCAGTTGTGCAACCTTTTGCTGTGTCTCCTGGGCACGCTGCTTGGACTTGGTACGAGACTTTTTGACAGCCAAGTTATTGCGTGCCCGAAGGATGCGGTACTCTTCGCTGTCCTTGTTCAACAGTGCGGAACGCTTGCCTCGACTCATACTGCTGCTACTGTCGCTGCTGCTGCCACTCGTTTCCTTGCGTGGTGCCATCAGTGCTTCCCACCACTCGGGGTCTCTCTTACATTGCATGCGGCCCCTCGGCACTGCCTGCCAAGGCCAAGATGTGCTCTCCTGGTGGAAAAGCCCTGGGAGGGGAAACACACAAAACACACCATGAGCCAGAAGTACATATCAATACTTTACTACAATGAAAGATTCAGAAGCACCTGAATAATGCATAATTGAATGAACGACCTTGCAGTGGCATCACAGCTATGTGGCACAGAATTGAGCTGAAACCGAATATTTTGGCAGCCAGCTAATCAACAGTAGTGAGCATAACAAAAACAATGAACAATTTAAGTATTTCCCTTAAGAATTCGGGACCAAGCTGCATCCATATCCATAAAGAATTGCATGATAAAACATGTGCCGTACTACAGCTAACTAATTATTGAAGAAGGGCAGTGGCATTAGCTAATGATGTAATCTCACAAAGCTGTACATTAGGCCATGAGGGATCTAATAAGCAGAAAAAAAAATGTTCACTGTCAGTTCTTGATTCTAATTTTTCCTCTACGTTCTTGCTGCCACATTAAAACTGGGTAGAAATGCTGCCACCCCAAAACTTCAATCCTTTATGTGGCACTTAGAGCTCATCCTTCACAACAAAACCAATCCATGTGCAACCAGCTGACAAATAGTGCACTTATATGCAAGTGTTCTTGTAAAATACCACTATTCAAACCAAAAGAAGAATTTTCTCCTAGAGCAGAGCACCTGATTAAAATTTTTGAGCTGCCCTATAACACACAGGGCTTAAAATTGACATGTGGGTCACATTGCGTACACACAAAATCATCCCTTAAGTTACACTAAATTTACGTACATGTACTCAAATATGGCACACAACATAGGACTTAGTTTGCTAGGGCTCTTTAAAATATTTTATTTAGAAAACCCTGCAGGTTCACTACCATTAGACTTGCTCTTAATGGATTATTTACTTTCACCTTCAGTGAATATGACATTACTATCTGCCCGTTTTCTCCCGCAATCGATTAGAACTATCGAAGACAATTATACATTTTAAAGCACTACTGCACTTGTGTTTTCCAAGCTAAGCTGACTAAAAGGTGACTTACTTCTTTTACGTCTCTCCAAACGCTGAAGTTGAACCAACTCGTATCTGCTAGTGATGCCTCGCAGACTGTAGTGAGACTATCGCCAATCGGTCGATATTCCCTACGATCTGAAATAACATCGTCAGTAAGAAGTGCTACAAACTGATTACCACGCGTCCATAATAGAATAGGTCTAGACGCGAAGGTTTGTCACCCAACACAGGAATGCTAAAGATCACTCTGTTTACGTCACAAGAATAGTAGGGTTCGTGCAGCCGTTTGTTTACTATTATCTCAACCACAGTAGAATAAGTCGTGCCTCAGCCATTCAAAGGTATCAGGCACACTTAAAAGAAACCGGAGGGTTAATTTCTACGTTGAAATTTATCCAGAGAGCACAAGAGCACACCCTGAGACAATCAAATTTAGCAAGCTGCACTTGCGCAGAACTGACATTCCTCGCAGCATGAGTAAGTTCTGTTTACAAAAAGATACACGTGGAAAATCATGCCAGATATTTAAGTAATAATGGTCATAGTAGCAGTACCGGATCAAGAACTTTTAACTGAGAGCCATCGCCACACGTAAAGCACAAAATTTCTTACAAAAACGCAAGAGATGGCGGCAGGATACGGCACCCAAACAACACCTCACGAAATTGCATCACAAAACGACACCGAAAAGCAAGTCACTTTGCCCGGGAAATAAGAGCCGTTGGTGGCCGTTCTTGTTCGAGTGGGTCCAAAAAGAAGCGGACGTTTCGTCAACGACTATTTCCGGCTACGTGTGTCGCCTTCGCCCAAGGAGGTGGAGTGGAGGTGCACCTTTCCTTCCTCCGTGTGCGCCCCGATAGCCACCCTAGCCCTCACCATGGTCCCTCAACACTAAGTATTGAGGATCCATGCCCCCACAGAGGAAGGAAAGGTACCTTTCCTTCCTTCCTTCCTCCGTGCTAGCCCCGATAAGTGACACCCGTCGCCGCCATATTGGAAAAGGAAAGACTCGAAAGCAGACGACAAAGTGCGCTTCGTAGCTCCGCCCTCGCAGTGGCCTTTGGAGACTGTGACATGCTTTTGTAAAGCAGTTGGTGTTGTCTTACAAGGCAAGACGGATGGCGTGCATACATTTTTTTTTTTTTTTGGCGAGTGAATATCGTATCTCGCGCATGTTTATCGAGGAATTCGCAAACGTAGAGAATATTCCATGCCGTGATTTTCCGTGTTACAGGTTTCCGAAAGAGAGTCCGCAGCGTTCTGCCTGGGACGTACTGTTCGAAGAAATAGTTGGAAGGCTACGGATGGTGACCACCTCTGTTTCATTCACTTCGAAGAATGCTGCTTCGGCAGAACGGGGCAGACAACCAGACTGCGGCGTGGCAGTGCACCTTCGATTTTTCCTTCTTTCCGAGCGCATCTGCAAAAACCTGTTAGTTTCTACCTCCTTGACGTACCTTCAATATAATTTAGTCACGAAAATAAGCAATTGCGTCTAAAACAAGATAAGACACCTTTGAAATCCGTTCTATCTTGCCGAAGAAACCGAAACCAAAACGTCGGTAGACGAAGTTGCCAAAATGAGTGAGTGGCGTTATATCAAACATCGAGCTACCTCGTTTCTAGGCTCTGAAGGCTGCGCTGGACATGACAACACACGTCGCCAACGGAAGTTGATGAATATTATGCATAACTAACGTCACTGCAATCGTTCTTATGGTTCATTTGGGGTACGTCTACTGGAGTTCCTCGGTTGCACGCGACATCGGTACTTCGGTTTTATTTCAGCCTGTAAATTGGTTAGAATTCGATAACTCTAGAAAAATTACTGGCGACTCCCAGTTTGCCTAATTACCTCTGTTTTCTAACTTTAGCTTTAATTACTTCAACTTCCTTATATATATTCTCTGTGGTAATCTCCCGACACACACACAAGCACATATATGAAATAGGCGAGCAAATGTCGCGTTCTCCTTGATCTTGAGTATCTGCAGGTACATTTCTTTAAACCCCTATATATACTACAACTATTTTATACCGCAATATTGCGCCAGCAAGCTCGATATATGCGAATCATTCCTCGACAACAGATTGATCTGAAAGCGTGCAGCTGACAATGGGTACATGAAATAATTTGTTTCATAAACAAGAAGAGGCATTTATTCGTTGGTGTAACCTAAAAGTGGTTTCCATTTCATTTTTTTTTTTTTATCGTAGAACTGCAAATCGACGCGCGCAACGCACGTATTCTATAGCGGTCTATGGCGGTTCCGCCCTGTTTTTCCTCTAGCAATATGGCCGCCGGCGGCTTCACTTGCCCCGTTGGCGGCCGCCGGGACTGCCACTCCAGAGGTTCTATTATAGTGTACTAGAAATATTCTAGTACACTATAGTTCTATAGAACCTCCTTGGCCACGCCACACCGCCATGCTGGGCTCCGCGCGGGTGTACAAACGCTCATGTCATGACCTCAGCAATGCCTTTTTCTGGCAAGGTTCTGTACCTTGCAGAAAAGCCACTTGTCGTGCAGATTTTTGCAAATGGTCATTTGGTTTAGAAAGGTGCTAGCGAATCGAACGGACCCCACGCAAGCATGCATATTGATCCCATGTGTTTCGCGTTCTGCTGCTATTGAACGTTTCCTTGGTTTCCTGCTGCTTATGTGGTTCGTCTGGGGTTCATAGTGTCATGCCTGTTGATACTCAGTTGCTTTAAATGAAAAAAAAAAGTTGGGTGCAGTACAAAACAGGGACAATACACGCACACTTGTGCCTGTGTTGTCGTTCTCGGTCCTTGCTGTGCTGCACCCCATTTTTTGCATTTGAAAGGAATCGTTACCAACTAGCCCAAATGACTGCTTTGCTGCAATACATCTCAGTTGCTTAAAGCAGGAAGGCATTGCGCAACTGTCTCTGTGTCGTCGTTTTGTTCTCGCGCTATAAATATCGTCACGCCATACCAACTAGCCCAAGGTGCCACACTTCTATGTCCCGGTCAGGTTGGGTCTGTTCCACGGAAGAAGGAAAGGTCTCTTCGATTCACCTGCGCGACCTGAACCAGTTCACAGGGGGCTCCACCTTTCCATTCAAAATTAAATGTGCAGAAGAGCATAGATAAACAGAATAACATAGGTGGTGCATGGGTGCAGGGTTGGCACATAATTTTTGTGCACCTCCTCTGACGGTGCTGGCGCGGGACAGACATCGTGCAGACGAGCGGAGCGCAGCAGACGATACAATTCAGGCGGTGCATGTAGTACTGTACGCGCCTCAGTACACCATGTGGGCTGTGTTTACGCCTTTTCACAGGAGCGAAGAGACGCCACCACAGAACACCTAGCCGCCCCACGAGGACGTGGGCTCCGTCGAGGCGGGCGAGTACCCATACACAGCTCTTGACCTGCAATTTGTGTGTTTAGAAAGGGTATGCAGCGATTGGGGGCACCAGGTACTAAACTATACAGCAGCTGTCCTAAGGAAGGCTCATGTATTTAGAAAGAGTGGGAAACGATTCGGAGTACTATAGGTACTCTACTATAGGAGAGCTTAAAACTGTGTTTAGAAAAAGGGGGTAATGATTTAGAGTACTCGGTACTGTTACGAAAGACGGTGACGCCAACACGGTCCCGAAAGCGCCACTGCTTCGAACTCCGCCGGGAAGGTCACCAGCCGTTTGGTAGCGTAGGTTTGTCAGCTCGCGACTGCTTCTGCGCAGAGCTGATAGACTAGCGGATGAGACGACGGTGAGTTAAACTAGGTTTATGTACAACATAGATACAGAGGCGTTACAAATTCGGCACTGGGGCTGACAGTTGAGAGACTCGAAGAGCCGAGCTCTCTTCTCTGACACATAGGTCTACTGCTCGCGACGCGCCGCAGGGCTTTTTTTATATGCACCGGGTGGATTCTTTGAGTAACAAAGTGTCCAACCAGAAGCGCCGCTGGCCGTGAGGTCAGAATCCTCCAATGGTGTT